TAGAATTTTTTACATGTGTTTTGTATTTACGAGTTGTTTTGTTTTCATGTTATCGTTGTAGTTTAGTGGTATATTTTGCTTTGCATGTACGTTTTTGTGTTGAACCATACATTTGTTTTTGCTTTTCGAAACTTGTTGAGTCGTGATTGCTTGGATGTTACTTTTGTTTCCTTGAGTTGATTGATTCTTGTTTGAGGACAAACACGTTTAAGTTGGGGAGAGTTGATAAGTGCTAAATTGTACTAATTTCGAGTGTGAATAATTGACACTTATTAGCTTGATTCGTTGGTTTTTCGTTAATAATCCTCTGTTTTTGTGTACTTTTTGTATAGTTTACATTATAGTGTATATATTGCGTATCATGCAAATATCATTGAGTTTAATTGTTTTTCTCTCATTTTTGTAGGTATACAAGCAATTATATTTTGTCATTATCTTATAGAGCATTGAATAAGCTTTCCAACGCTTCCGATCGCGCGTAAAATGGAGTGTATATCTTGATGATCCGGAGTCGAATCCACTTCAATCGGAATTGACAAACCGTGGAATTTGTGTTCTTCTTCTCTATTCTCTTTGTACCCTCTATTTGTTGGGGTTTTGTATGTAAATTTATCTTGATTGTATGTATATTTGTGGAACTTTGTATAAAATTTCTTTTACGAGTCTTTATTGATGATTATCTTTGATTTTTTACTTAATGAGTTTGGATTGCTATAGACATATACGGTTCGAACTCGATCTAAAATGAACACCTGTTAGATTCTAAACTCTAGACATAGATTTAGGTCTAATATTCATGTGAGTATCAGTTCTTAATGCTTCGTGTTGTTGAGTTGCGTGAGACATTACCGATGAGACGATATGGTTGATATCTCAACTTTGCATTAGACATAACCTCTGTTGTGAGTGGTACATGATTATATTGACGAGTGATTTAGGTTGCGTGCATTTGATCCATATATTTTTTAGTACATGATGGATAGAAACGAAATACAACTTCTGACGAGTTTTCTCATTTCTAAATAATGTACTTATTTGCTTGTTTTATATTTTTCCTTTTGCATTTTTATCCCAAACCATTTAAATCCAGGCTTAGAGACGTAGAGATTATCGAACTGTATTATTTCCCTTAAACCGATCTCCGTGGAGACAACATAATCTCGGAGGAACTTCTTCCGAAAATAAATATTTTTGCTTGCCGCATTATTGCTTTAATAGTTGGCACTAAAAGGACATGAAAAAAAGGAAAAATTAAATTAAATGATTTTTTTTGTCTTAATTTCATTTTAGTGATGGTTTTATCTCCTATTAAATAAGAGATGGTGATGACCATCCGCACGCACGTCTGTGACGTGATATTTTGTTAGAAAGTGGTCATGATGACCAAGAAATAATAATAAATTAAATAATAAAATATCTAATTGATGTGATGTGTACAGACTGGGCTAACAGTGTCGAAAGGTTACAAAAATGTCATCTTTCTTCCATTTGACCACATGATCGAAAGTAGCGGTTTTGGGGGCATCTGTTACCCTGGAATTTCTATTTGGAAAAATTCAATTGAATGTTGTATTAGAAAAATGCTAATCGTTAGCATTGATTGACACAAGTCGAATGAAACGTTTCGATTAACATTTTGAACCACGGTTTGGAAGAATCTCAAAAGCAGATCTTGAAACATGGTTTGGAAGAATCTTAAGAGCGGATCTTGAAACATGGTTTGGATGAGTCTCATGAGCAGATCTAATTGATCACTTGATGCTGTGTCAAAGTGAAGTATTCGATGGACTTCAAAGACTTAGAAGATTTTGAAAACCAAAGACTTAAGAAAGGTGTTAGCAATCACCTTAGACGAGCAGACATTTATCAGTCGCTTAGAGCAGTTACGAACATGAGATAGTTATTTTAAGCCGTTTTTAAGTACTAACAACGCGACAATGCATCAGAAGATTAAGTTACATGTTCTTGAAGACATGTTTAGTTTCTAGGAATAAGTTGTCGGAGACGGTTATCTTTAGTTTAGTGTGTGTGCGTGTGTCTATATATATATATATATATATATATATATATATATATATATATATATATATATATATATATATATATATATATATATATATATATATATATATATATATATATATATATATATATATATATATATATATATATATATATATATATATATATATATATATATATATATATATATATAGACATACGCACACACACTAAACTAAAGATAACCGTCTCCGACAACTTATTCCTAGAAACTAAACATGTCTTAATATATATATATATATATATATATATATATATATATATATATATATATATATATATATATATATATATATATATATATATATATATATATATATATATATATATATATATATATATATATATATATATATTGTCTTTATGTTTTTTTAATTGAAACATTTTACTATTTATGTCATTTACCGCGTTTATTTAATGTCATTTATCGCAGTGTTCTTTTAGATTAATTTAAGATTTTTCGTAGTTAGAGTTTGTCTTTACTCTGTCTATATACATACATTGAGAGTCAATTGAGATACATAATTTCTTGTACACGTGTTTGCATAAAATTATTTTTGAGACTTTTCAAGTTAATCTCACAGACTATTTAAACTCGTGATTGTTCGCTAAAAACACATGCGAACACCCTCTGGATCCACCGTATCGAAGATTAGCAACATCGATTCAAAATCGACGCCGCTCAACAATGTCGATTCAAGATCAACATTTCTAATCCAAAAAGCCTAGTGATCAACATTCAGTCCACAGTGCCACATCACAAAATCATCGACGAAGCTTCGTTCCACTATAACTTTCATATTTTTATTCGATCTTACTAATTTGTGTCTTAAATACACATATGTTAAAGGAACTTAAAAATAAAAAATTTCAAATAAAAAAAATTAAATACACTTTTGATTTATTTGTTTCAATTTTGCAACGTTGCATTTTAAAACTCATTATTTTATCTCCTATATTTAAAAATTAAAAGATTTGCAAATATTTATTTAAAAAATTAATAACTAGAGTTTTTAAAAGATTTACAAATATTTATTTTTTAAAATTTAATTAACTAAAGTTTCTAAAACAAAAAAAAAAAATTAAATAGAAAACTAAAATATTGAGTTTTAAAATGGAGATAATAAAACGTTAAAAAATTAAAACTTACAAAAATAGATTTAAGCTAATAAATTAATATTATAAGTTATAAAAATATTATCTACGGTTTTGTAAATTAAATACTTTTACATTACATTTTTCAATATATATCCTAAAATCATACATTATTTGTAGAGGGGAGGGGCCATAGTACAGGTGCCCTCCCCCTAATTGATATTTATGTTATTAAATGTTAAAATTAATTATTAATTTATATAAAATAAGTTCTACAATTTAAAAAATTGTTATTTTTAGTAATATAATTAAATTTTTTATAACAATAGTTCGTAGATGTTATTTGGTAAAATTAGTTGATAGTTAATAAATTAATTGATAGTTGATAGCTGATGATTAGTAGCTGATAACTTATAGTTGATGACTGATAGTTTATAGCTGATGATTTTTACTCTTTCGGTTTTAAAATGTCTGTCGTTTTAGAGAAAAAATTTTATTTCAAAATGATTATCGTTTTCACTTTGTAATGTAGTAATAATTTTTAATTTTTCAATTATGTCATATAATTATTACTCTGTACATTATTTCTAACACATTAATAAGACTAATTTAGTAAAAGTGCAATATCTTATAACAATATCATTGATTTCTTAATTTGTGTGTAAAAAAACCTTAAACGATAATCATTTTGAAACGAAAGGAGTAGCTAATAAACTAATTTGAGTGTTGGTAAATTAACTATTACACTAACTATAAATACAAAATGACATAAACAAATATTTTTAATTAAAAAAATTAGCAATCCTATTTATTAAATTAATTTTTATTCAATAAAAATAACCGTATTAACAATCAAATGCAAAACATTTTAAATATAAATTTAACATTAAACATAACACAAAAATATATTAAAAACTTATATATAAATTTTGTAATGAAATTTAAATATCTAAAATATTAATATTGTAATTTCATTTTATATTCCAATGAAGTGCATATTTCCTTCTCTTAATTTTTCTCTTAAAATCCATGATATGCCTACTAATAAACAAATATATTTAATAGTTCATTATCATATTTATAAAAATAATACATTAATAATAAAATTCAAGTAGTAAATCATTAAAATAATAATTTAAAAGTAATAAAAAAATTCAATGGAATGAGTCAAAATATTCTATTAATAACAAAATGGAACATGGATTGTATTGTGAATTTGTTAGATATAAAAAAAGTCATAAGTTAAAAAGCTATAAACTCAACTGCTACTTCTAATAGCTTTTAAAAAAAATTAAAAGTTAATAAAAAAGCTATAAGTTTAAAGTTAAAAAGACAGTTAACAAACGAAACTTTTTTTTATTAATGTGAGCTAAAAAGCTGTAACTTATAAGTGAAAAGTTTTTTTTTTTCCTTAGCAATCAGACTCTTAGTATCCTACATGATCTCACCCTTGGCAACAACATTTGTTTATTCAATTAAGTTCTTTAATGAGAATATTCTGAACGTTTGTTGCTTCATGCTTGCAATACGGCATGTAGGAAGTAGAGTAGCTTTTTCCCCACTTGGTTATTACTATCTTCACATGTAGAGTTTTTATCAGTAGTTCATACTTTAGCAATACAGAGTAGACACTTTAACTTGACCTTTGTTGGAATGTAACAAGATTATAATGTCACTCAGCAAGATACACTAATCAAAACTTTGGAAATTTACAAATATTCCTTCAATCAAAGTCATATAACTATTGAAACTCAATTCTATGTATTAACAACTCCTGAAAACAATACTACAACTAATAATGTCAATGATATTCACATAAACTCAAATATCAAAATGTCAAAAAATCAAACTGCAGCGGCTTTCATGGAAGCTATTTCCTTTTTGGTTCTTCTGTGTCGTTTCTTCCCCGGGGCGGCTTTCATGGAAGAAGCTATTTCCTTTTTGGTTCTTCTGTGTCGCTTCTTCCCCGGGGCTTTCTCTGGTATAGGAGGCAAAATCTTGAGTTTATAACTCTTTAATGAAGGTCCAAATATGTTATACTGTCCGGCACTGCAAAAAGCAGTTTCTGCATCAACGCGTCTTTTGAAAACAACTTTGACGCATTTAGTTCTCTCTAATAGTTCAGTCTTCGATTCAATTAGCGGCCCAAAGCGGCCAAAGATTTGGTTCAGATCTGTTATGGAAGGAACCGAATCGAAGTTTGTGAATTTCAAAGTAAAAGCTGTCGGAGAATTTTCGCTCGCATGTTCTGCATGTTCCACCTGATTGAGAGGTTCTGATGCAAGATTTTCATCTGTATTTTGATGGATTAAACTCGTATTAAAACTAATTTCAGCTGCTTCTTCTGAAGTACTTGTATGTTCCACGATAGGTTCTGCTTTGAGATTTTGTTCCACATGATTGAAAGGTTCTGATATGAGATGTTGTTCCACATGATTGAAAGGTTCTGATATGAGAGGTTGTTCCACATGATTTAAAGGTTCTGATATGAGATTTCCATCCTGCAATAAACCGGTAGTAGGATCGAAATAACCATCATTGCAAAACTCCATTGGTGTCGTCTGTATAGAAGCTGTAGCAGAAGTTTCTGCCGCAGCTTCTAGTACTGCAAGTTCCATCGCAGTCCAAGCGGAAGCTTCTGCAGCAGCATCTATTACTCCAAGTTCCATTGGAGTCGACAAATAAGCTTCCACAGCAGCCTGTATTACTCCAAGTTCCATCGGAGTTGAAACCGAAGCTTCTGCAGCAGCAGGAGTGGAAAGAAAAGCTTCTGCAGCAGCTTCTATTACTCCAAGTTTCATGGGTGGTGTCGCCACATACGCTGCTGCAGCAGCTTCAATAGAATTTATTACTCCACCTTCTCCACCTTCCATCGGCGTCGACACAGAAGGTACTGCAGCTGCTTCTATCACTCCAAGTTCTTTAGGTGTGGACACAGAAGCTGTAGCAGCAGCTTCCATAGAGTTTATTACTCCACCTTTCATTGGTGTCGACACAGAAGCTACTGCAGCTGCTTCTATTACTTCAAGTTCTTTTGACACAGAAGCTACTGCATCTGCTTCTATTACTCCAAGTTCTTTCGACACAAAAGCTACAGCAGCAGCAGCTTCTGTAGAGGCGGCTAATACTCCAGTTTCTAAAGAAAATCCCTGCTCGAGGAAAGCAGAATTGTTACGGCCAGTGACTTTTCTAAAATCAGCAAAGTAATGTATCAAATCAGTGTTGCAACTTTGCCCTGCAGGATCATTGGCAGCCAAGCATAGTTGAGACCACATATCATGTACTGATACATTCTGGAATTCGGTGCTGTTTCCGGTTTGAGAATTATGGAAACAATCATCATAAGTATTGTAAGCTGCCTTCGGTTTTCTGCCACGCTTGCGTGGAATTGAATCATTAACAGCAATTTGGAAATTCTGGATACAATCATAAGTATTGTAAGCTGCCTTCGGTTTTCTGCCACGCTTGCGTGGAATTGAATTGTTAACGGCAATTTGGGAATTCTGGAAACAATCATCAGGAGTATTGTAAGCTGCCTTCGGTTTTCTGCCACGCTTGCGTGGAATTGAATTTTTAACAGCAATTTGGAAATTCTGGAAACAATCATCAGAAGTATTGTAAGCTGCCTCCGGTTTCCTTCCACGCCGGGAAGTAGATTTATCATCTTCAATTTGGAAATTCTGGAAACAGTCATAATCATAAGAAGGATCGTGAGATACCTTCCGTTTCCTGCCGCGTCGCGAACTGAGATTATCCCCAGCTTTCTTTTCTAGAGTACATTTACCATTTGGAGTCCATGAGTTCTTCTCAGAGATCAAAGCTGGTAAAAAGCATTGACCTGTTTTCAAAACTTGATCATTGCACTGCTCTTCTCTTACAGGTAGAATTTCCATATCAGGTACGAACAACCGATCATGCACCATAAACTCAGGCAGCTGCGAATAGCCTTTCAAGCGATAGAAAGCTGACACTTGGCCACGAGCCCTTACCAAATCCAGTCTATCAAACTCAGTAAGTGGTGACTGAGCTAATGATTGAACAAAACTTACAAGCTCTGCAGGTTCAAAAGATTGATTACAGATTTCACCATTAGCAACTACTTGCGACTTGAGGTTAGAAGACACTTCCTCGGGCAAACAAGGACAAGACAGGCTAAACGCAACCCGTCTTGAGGCTTCCTCTAGAGCACAATCAACAGCAAAGCGGAAACTTTCACAATCAGTCTGTTTCGCCATTTCGGAGAAATGTTTATGAAATGGCTTTATCATTGACACTTCATTCCAAGCAAATTTCTGACCCCCAAAATATGCTATCAGGTAACAATCCTCTTCCCAGTAACTCTTTGCCACCTCTGATGCAATTGAGGGATCATAGATCTGACCAGGCCACCAAGGATGACCCCTAACCTTTCCCCATACTAAATCAGATATACGGTAGTTAACATCGGAAAACACCGAATCCCTCCGCACATTATCCTCCTGAGTGTTTTTGTAAGAATTAAGATCCACAACAAGATCTAAACCACAATAGTTGTATTGAATACAATTCTGAATCTCATTTACTTGTTCATCCGACAGAAAGGACTTTTTTGAAAACAAATGTTCCATATCCAAAGACACTTCTGCAACCTTCGACACATCCTCGCACTCTCGTTCGATCTGAACACCATTGTTCAATCCAAAAACCAAATCTTTACCTGACTCTGCACAACCTCCACCAGTACTTTGAGTCACAGTTCTCTCAACTTCATTTTGCACCAACCAACTTGAAAATTTTCCTACTTTCCCATCACACTCTCCATTAACAACACCCAACATTCCACCATCCGCCAAATTATTATTTTTTCCTCGATAAAAACCCTCTTTTTCACAGCGATTAACCGAAACATTACACTCTGAGCCCATGTGAAACCCAACCTCATCAGTCCCAGAAAACAGCCCCATTGAACCATTGACTCCTCCAACATCACCAATTAGAGTCTCAGTCTCAGAGAAAGAAACACCAACATTAACATTAGACCATGTCGAAGATTCAAAGCCAAAAACATCATTCTCTTGACCAAATAAAACATCATCAACATGTAAATCCATCCGGTCGGAATCTCGAGCCATTATAACAGAAAACCTAAAACACAAAACACATGCATTCATATTCATATTAATATTATAGCGACAGAACACAAAACACGTTCATGCATTAAAACGATAACATGTAACAATACAACAGTGTAATAAAATAGTATAACATGAAAGATGCGAAAAATTCAAACCTGATATGAATCTTGAAGCAGAATTGATATACAGTGAAACTAAAATGTGAGAAAATTTGATTGATATAGAGATAGAGATAGAGAGAGAAAGAGGTGAAGCGTTAAGAAGGCGTGGCAGAGTTAGTATGATTTTTGCAGCAGAAAAAAAAGGAGTTGCGGCTTCTTGTACGCGTGGTTATGGGTATTTTCGTAATTTCGATTTTTGTTACGGTTTTGAAAATCCACGTTTTCTGTTTATATATATATAGAAGAAAACTGCACTCCTATTTTTTTGGTATCATAATCCTGAAGAACCTCACTTGAATTAGTACTCGGATGCTAATATTACTGTTACATTTATACGTAATATTTGGTACAAGAGTGTATTAATTTGTTTTAACTCTGTTCAAGAAAAAATTAATTTGTTTTAACTGAAAAGATTTCAAAATAAATTTAATTACACTACAATTTTTTTTGTCCGGAATAGTTTACACTATTATCAAGTTACACTATTATCAAAAAAGATCTTATTAAATTATATTAAAAATTTTAAACTAATTATGTGATACTTAATAATATATTCTTTTTAACTTCATCCGGATTTGTATTGTAATTTTTTAAATTATTTTTAGAATTATTTTTTTAATATTTATTTACTATAATATGATTAGAGATATTTTAAGATTTCACTCCAAAGGAATTAATTCATTTTAAAACCTATATATGTCATTCAAAAATCAAAAAAGAAAAAGACATGATTTTTATATGTAAATAGAAAAGAAAACAAGAGAAAAAAATTTAAAAGTTATTTTGTTTTTGTTTTTACAATTTTAGAAAACTACCATGATTTTAAAATTTTAAAATTTTATTATATTTTTCATAGAAATATTAAATTATACCTAGAATTTTTAGCCAAAAAGGTATGTTTGTTTATTAAAAAAATTTAATTTTGACTATCTAATTAAATAATTATACAATTATATATTTTTTATGGAAATATTATTTTATTTTTAATTATTATTATTTAAATATATAACAAACAAATATACATAATTTGATATATTTACTATCTATTCCTCATCTCCCAACCAAAAAGGCCTTAATATTTTATCTGAATATTGAATTCATAATTGTCAATTAATTACGTATTCAAAATAAAAATAGACAAGATTGTTTTATGGTAGAGATATGAGAGAGTTTATTTCAATTAAGGATTACAATAAATAAGGTTTGAGTACATTTTCTATTGTTTTTCCTTTTATATAGATCGAGCACTCTTTATATTCATTTATATATTATTATCATATTTATAAAAACAATATCAATTCAGTAGAACTTTAGAATTGGTTTGGTACCATCTTAATAACTAAGTACGAGTATGTATCTATTAAATATATCTTAATTCTATTAAATTAATAGATAGTAAAATATCACTATAATTAAATTGAAAAATAACATTTAAAATGAATCATTAAATTTAAACATCATAAATAATCGGTATTTTAATCAAGAATAATGGAGAAAAAAGATTTTAGAATATGCAAATTTTGTTCAAAATAGGAGAATTGATTTTTTTAATAAAAGGGAAAAGAGGGACTTTAAACTTTTCTTTATAATCTTAGAACAATGATTGCATTATATATGGATAAATGTTATTGAGTTATTACTAAAAATAGGTATATTAGTACAAAAAATAATATAGAATATATTAGCATGATTTATAAATAAAAAATAGTTGTGTTTTTAACCTAAAAAATAAATAATTTAATAATTTTTGTTGAGAATGTAATTTTTTATGTCGAAACAGGTTGTTTGACATAAACAAGTTAGTGTCGAAATAATCTAGTGTCTGAGTTGTGTAGTTGTCGAAGAGTCGAAGGAGTTAGGCCTAATTTTATAGTGTTAATAGAATTAGGTATTTTGGACTCTTAGACTTTGCTTAAGGAGCAAACAAACCCAAAATCTATAAATAGGGAGTAACGTCTATTATTGAATAACAACTTTTGCAGTTGTAAAAAATAATATTCAGTTTGAATAGCATATTTGGTTCAAACCCTAATTCTGTTTTCTTCCCAATTCAATTTTTCTTTCTTCTTCCATTAATAATTGCTGCACAAAATCATTCTTGCAATCAAGGTGTGATTGATTCACTCGAGTGAAGAACAAGAGAGGAATTTGATCAGTTGATTGAATCTTCTTCATTAAGATTGGTTCAGAATTCTCTAAGATTGAGTTAGTTCTAACATCTGGTATCTAGAGCTCCGTTTGTGATTCGTAGAAGTAAAACGCGATGATGGCGAATCATTCAAATGAGCATTTTTTGGCGAGTCTTCTAATTCTCAAGAACAATAATTATGAAAATTAGTGCAAGAAGATGAAGGTTGTTTTCTATTATCAAGATCTTTGGGATCTTGTGAAGGAATGAGTAGCACCGCTTGCAGAAAACGTGACGAATGAAGAAAAAACTGCACACGAAGAATTGCAGAAGAAAGATTATAAAGCTTTCTTTATAATTCATTAATGCGCTGATTCAGATAATTTTGAAAAGGTTAGTGATAGAATCAGCGAAAAAAGCATGGGAAATTCTGGAGAAATTGTTTGGAGGCGCAAAAAAGGTGAAAGATTTGAGGTTACAAACTCACAAAAGAACATATGAATTGCTTCAGATGGAACGAAGATGGGACTAATGGGTGTGGTTTCCAAGGTTTTGGAGAATGAAGTAAGTAATCTGGTTTAAGTGGGTATGCAGTTGGGTTTGGTGGGCCATGACTTATTACTATTTAACCCATTGTCCCCTAGACCAATTGGGTCAATTGGGCCTGTTGTGGGATCCAAGCAGAAGAAGACCAAAATGATTAAGGAAATCTATGATAATATTAAAATTCCTTTTCACCCTCCTATTACTCTGCTTTAATTCATTCGGTGAACAATTAAGAATCGATTCAATTTGTACTAGCTTCTGTTGTTAGTAATTTCATTGATCCTAACGGGGTAGAAGATTCAAACTCAAAATATTCTGGTGGATCCATCCTATGTTGCGACTCCATTATCCATACAAATGTTAATCAAGGAAATTCTCGAATCAGGAAATCAATCGAGGACGTTCTTTCAAAGGCGTGGCAAATGATTAAGGAAATGGGCATTAAAGGTGAAAAAGATGATGAAGTCTTTGAAGGTATAATCAAAGAATTGAAAGCCAGGGATAGGAAAATTGTTGAAGGTAATAAGAGGGTTGAGATCAGGGTTCCATAAGTTTAGTCTCATTCAATGTGAGGTTCCTTAATTAAGAAGAGGATGGTTTGTCAAATGTTAACATATGGGAATGCAAATATATTTTTTATTTAAGAATCGAAGCTTCAAGCACAATTTCGAGTGGTCAACAGTTTCTGCAGTTGGTTAGTTTGGGGCATCATATCAATTTGGCGCAAGAATGTTTTCTTTCTGAAGTTCAGTTTCAGAGATAATGGGTAATTGGGGATTAATTGTCAGTGGAAGGGGATTAACTGTTACTTAGTTAATGTGTATTCTTCGTGTATTCTCTTGGAAAAAAGAAAACTTTGGTTTGATCTGACTAATGTCAAAAGTAAGTTTCCATTAGGGGAGTGGCTGGTTAGGGGTGACTTCAACGCTGTCAAATAGGTGGAATAGGGGAAGAGGAAAGGAAAGGCTAGAGGATTTAAGATGGAAGATTTTTCTTCATTTATAGACGTGTTAGAGCTTATTGATCTTCCAGTTGAAGGAAATAGATATACATGGTTTAATTCAAATGGGAGTTGTAACACCCCCTTTCTATACCCCCAAATAAACAATTAAATCATTTGGGCACTTAATAAAAATTTTCATCAGAGTATAATTAACACATGGTATAAAAGAGGCACGTCACATTATCCAGTAAATTCAAAACACATACAACACCTGCTCATAAAGATATGCAACAAAGGGTAAATCGCCACAAAGGAACTTAGTCCTTAAAACCCACACGTCAATATTTAGAATAAAAGCGGAAACATCTAAACATTGAGTCACTTCATTCATATAAATATTGTATACATAAACAGTTCAATTCAAGTCATAAGTCATGTTTACAAAACATTTCCAGCAGATACATACACAGATGTATCACAAAAGAACCAAAAGAATTCCTAACTACCCGGTGCTACATATCAGAGCCAACCGACCAAAAAGAATGAAGTCACGCTTCACAAAAGACCTCCAGCAACCTACTCTGCAATGCCTCATAGAGCATCATAAAACAGCAGAAGGGTGAGAAACATTATCATAACAAACAATGCATATAATATATATATATATATATATATATATATATATATATATATATATATATATATATATATATATATATATATATATATATATATATATATATATATATATATATATATATATACACCAACATAGAATACACATAACACATTTCTCACCTTAATACATCACAATTCAATCATATATACATCGCAACACATATATAATTCACCAAGCATATCCACCATGCAAACATTCACCACTAAGCATATACAATTATGTTTAGTTCAACACTTCACATAAACATACACAATTATGTTCATTACACCAATACATCACATGAAGATAATAATGCACTCATAGAGACCGACTCACGACTCTATGCAGATGCAAATGCAGTACCGACTCATTCAGCAGGTTCAATTGAAGAACCAAATAGAACCATCGCTCGTTACTGAAGTAACTCCCCGTCGGGCCTACGATGTTCACCCATCGCTCACACCCCACATGGGCACACGATGTTTCAGGATTGCTCACACCCCACACGGGCACACAATCCGACTGCTCACACCCCACAAGGGCACACAATCGTTCTGCAGA